TATTAGGCATCATATTTTAAATATTTTTTTTTAAAAAAAAATTTATATTTTTATTTTAATTAAAATTATTTTAAATATTTTTAAAATTAAAAAAACTATGGTGAGTAGAAATCTTTTTATCCACTTTGAGTATTAGATAAGTAGAAATTTATATTTTTAGCCGGCGTAAATTGTTAACAAAGGTTTTATAATTATAATTTTGGTTATAAGTTTTATTCAATTTCGATTTAATTCTTATTTAGTTTATTTCAAGGTTAAAATTGATATTTCCATAAGAATAAAATGATGGGCAAGTGATTCCGTGAATCACATGAAGTTTCTCTGGAGGAAAAACGTTAGTTTCCTAAGTAATTAATTCCACATTACTGACAAGTTGATAGAACTTATAATTTTAAAAATAAAATTTAATATGTCTCTATATGTATAAATTAATTATTTATTATCGACAAAATAATTTAGATTAACAACTAATAATTAATATAGTAAAATACTGTGTTACATTAATTGTTCCTAATTATTAGTTTATTATTTATTACATTTTTTTATTTTTTAATTTGTCCAAAAACTTTATTGTGCCTGAGACTGGACCTAGGCCCAAACTTAAACTGAATTCTGACCAAGCCTGTGCTTTAGCTAACTGGATTTAGCTGGGCCAGACACTTGGCTCTCATTTGTTGGATTGAGCCCAGTTTAGCTGCCAATATGTTTCGAGCTGTCCAATCCATTGACCACCTCTGTTAGTCTGATCTCTCTGTGCCCGAACAACAGTTTCTAGCCGGAAGAAATACGCCGAGTTCGAGACGTTGCTATGCCCACAAAACGCTGCTTCACTTGTTAGGAAGAGTGGGAAACTGGTGGGAGGACTGTGAAGTGCAGACTGTATTGAGAGGGAGGTGGAAAGAGGAGAGAATGAGCGAGGTAAGAGAAGTGCCACGAAGAGAGAGCCCGTGGGGTTTGCCGGAGGGAGACCATCGTCAACCCAAGTCCCATCGATGCAATGACCGAGCTGAGGATGTTATTCAAGTAACTTTAGAACCTTGTTTCTTCTTCTTCCTCTTTTTTCTTCTTCTCTTTTTTTTTTTTTTGGGGGGGGGGGGGGGGGGGCGGTATTCGAACTGGACCAAAGTGTGATTCCTTATTTAGTTGTCATAGATATTAACAGAGGAGGCTGGCGATTCCTCAGTAGGCGAAGAACAAATTGAAATTAAATAATTTTCTGCTGTTATCTAATTTATGAATGTTGATCTCTGTTTAATCTGAGGAAAGAGGAGGCTTGGAGGAAATTAGATAGAAAATGGAGGAGTTTGAAGATCGATGAACTTTCATTTGTTATTATGAATAAATTTAGAGAGTGTACCTCAGATTGCATAGACTCTTATTTGAGATTTGATAGTTCGAGTCAGGTACTACCTCACCCCTGTCTCAGAAAAAAAAAAAAAAAAAATTAACCGCTGATAGTTTTTAGCAGGAAACTGATAAGCTTTGGAGATGTTACTAGTCTAACTAGTTGGCAGATTTGTATTTAGCTTGGAATTTGGATTTGGAGTCAAAACTAGTAGATGCCTGGTATAGTCCTATACTCCAGGATCTAGTTATGGGTCTCATGCTAAACCTCTGTTAATGCAGATGATTGTTTCATAGGTCCCACCCTTTACATATTCTGATCACAGGGGAACCCAACCTTCTCTCTGGTAATAAAGTTCCACGAGCTCCCAAGAAGCATTGGAAGGAGAAAGACCTTGCCCATGAATTAACACTTTCTATTGACCATGTCAAACCTTGGTATCAACAAAGCCTAAGGAGTTGGACACATGATGTCGAAGAAGTAAAGTGGGAGAGTTGCTACTAGTCCTAGAATCTCTTTAAGCAAGAGATATGGAAAGCATGCTACCAATGCTAGAATTTCTTCAAGCAAGAGATATGGAATACAAGATGTAGTTTAGAATATTGAGCAAGAGTAACTTACAAGCTACGATCCTAATACGCTTCAGAATGGTGAAGGGATTATAGAATCTAAGAACCAATTTTTGATTGCGCTTGTTACCCGGGGAAATCTAGCGATAAGACTGTAATTTGGGGAGTGCCCAATCACCTGTAGCAAAAGAGACATCATGTTTACTAGAGTCACTATAACATTGTGAGTATGAGTTGAGGCAATCATGCAACTCCTATGGAATGAAATCTCAAGTTCCTGATTCAAAACCTGCAGTCTCGAGATGCTCTAAACAAAGGCAATGAGAAAGCAATCTAGGAGTAGGTCGCCCCTACACAACTTGAAAGGGCATTGCCTCGAGAGAGGAATGAAAACCAGTATCATAAGAATACTCTGCCTGAGCATTCAATTCACCTCTGTGTAGGCCTATATCCGAAACAACAAAGATATTGGGCCAAACATGATGGTGTACAGGGGTAGTAGAGCGAACATCACTATGATATAAGGATGGGACAATGAAAAAGAATGCAATAATTAGAATATATATGCGTGTGTGAGAGCAAGACGTTTTTACCTCATGAAGGAGAAAGTCCTTTTACGAAGTGCAATGGGATATTGGACCAAATATGATGTTGTACAGGGAGAGGCTGCAGTAACCCAACAGGTTGGAGGTGCTCCACCTTATTGTCTTGACATATGGAACTGAATAAAATCCCTCTCAATAAAGATCGAAATTCAATCTCTTCAAGTTTTTCTGGTAGCCTTCATGGCATTGATTGTGAATGGCAACAATAGAACCATTTGAAGAGGGGAATCAGGTGCCCAAGGAACAACTTAACCTTGTGCAAAATAAACCACCAAAGGGAAGTCCAGGATTCAAGTATCTCTCTCGCTAAGATCTTTTTACATTGCTGTTGTACCACAGATGAAGTATTATATGCCAAATATCTTCAAAATAAGCCAATTGAAGCACGGATGAAACAACTCATTGCACAATTTGCCATTTCTCTTGATACAGCATTAACAACAATACTTTTCTGTTCTGCCAAATACTCCATCATAAAGTCAACAGCCCATTAACCTGCTAACCCAATCTTGTTCTAATGCATTTTTCCAAAAGGGATTTCAGGCTATGTTGATCTATTCAGATGAGGAATTTTGGTCCCTTAGATTTGTATGCCAATCCCAAATGGCCTTGGTCAATCCAATTTTCATAAGTAGAGAGCTGAATGTGGTGGGTAGCTAGAGACCCACTAAGTGAAAGCCACATGTCTACCTTTACTCTACTTTGCCTTCGATTGGCTTTGTGCCATGTGTCAAGCTGACTTTCATGTTAGCCTAGCGTAGCTAGAAAGATCATTCTTTATCTCGTTCATTGGATGATTGCTTGGGCAAGTAATACCTAGAACTTCTGTTCTTGATTGAGAATTCTCATATAGAATGAAATTCTTTTTTTTTGAACTTTTGAAAGACAACATATCCCTAGTCTTCCCTTTTCTGTCGCTATTGCTTTCTACCAATTGATTTTGAATCTTGAAGTTTTCATATTTCTGTTTGTACTCAGTTATTGATATATTTTCTTGAATTAAATTGTAAACTTTTTCAGTTGGGTTAAATCGTTTTTAATTAATCTCATCCCATGTTTCATTTTCCAGTTGTTTTCTTCTTGTTAGATTCTCACCAATGCTGTAGCACCATATTTTTGTGAAACCCATAAGCTTTATCTTGCCGAGTCTGACCCTCCATGCTTCCTACTTATTATAGTAGTTAAAATATTTTTTCACTCAATTAAGCACTTGATTAAGAAATCAGGATCCTTTCTTTCATTGGAATCAGGAGTTTCTCCAGCATTTTCCTCAATATGTTTCTCATCAACGGCAACTATAATGCAACTGGCCAAATTTGAACAACTTGGAGAACTTCTCTCGTTTGTGCAAAGCCAAGTTCTGAAGCTCTTTTAAAAGTGCATTTCCGGAATTTTGAATTGTCTTCATAGAATTCTCAAGTGCAGCTAATTTAGTATCCCCATTTCGATTATTTAACTCAGCATTGGCGCCATTGTTTAGTTGATATCTAATGAGACAGTAGAAAGGAAGAGCGGAGTAGGAAAATCTGGACCAAGTGATGGGAACTGGTCTAAAGGTTTCAAGTGGCCTTGTTGAATCGGTTGGAACAAAAAACTTGAACATATAGGTCAAGCAAGGCTCACGCTTCGGCTTCTGGCCATCAGATAATATTGAGGTTCTGGTGCTTGACTTGTCAAACGGTGGGGGTTATAGGTCAGATTTAGTGAGATGTATTGTTGCCTCGATGGTGGCAATTTGATGGAACAACTACTTGGCAATTTGGTGGAATAGGTCGAGCAAGACCAAATTGCCGAATCTCACTCTGGCCATGCATGAGGCTCAGGCTCACTGTTCAGCTTCTGTTCATCGGGTGATGCTAGGGTTCTGGTGCTTGACTCATCTGGTGGGGGGGTTATAGCTTGAGTTCAGTGAGGTATTGTTGCCAAAACTGTGGCAATTTGGTGGAGAACTACCTGGCATTCTTGCAGCAGCGAGCATCGCATTCTTTGACAAAGTTTTGTGGCTACGATCAGGGACCTGCTGGTCAGAGCTGTCTAGAGTCTTCGGTGGTGGCTGTATCAATTGCGTCCTAGTTATGGGTGGTGATATCGATTTTAGGGTTGCCTTCGTCTTTTGCTCTTTATGTTTCTTTTTTTTCTTTTTTTTCCAGATGGTTTGGGACTATATGGATGGGGTTTTTTTGTGTAGGAAGGTTTATCTCTCGTACCAATGCAAATTAAGGAAATTAGGGTTATTTGACTACTTAAGAATTTTGGGATAAAAATCTGAACATTACACCTAAAGATGTTAACAGCTTGTTTAAATTTGACTGCATCACGCAACCAGAAAATTGAGAAAATCCTCAAAGTACTTCATTGAATAACTCAATTTTCCTAAAAAAATGAGCATACATATGTATCTTTAAGCTTTCTGAATAATTTTCTTAAATTATGATTTAAGTTAAAAAATACTGATAAGAACAAGAAAACTAAAATACTAAAAAGAATAAGGTTATAAAGTTATTAATGTTATAGTATTAGCTATTGAAAACCATAGTAGTTTTATATTTAAAAGAAATTAAATTTTTAATCTATTTAGAGAGCTAAAACTAGTAAGGATCAAAGAGTACATGTGAATATATTCACTGGGTTTTGCTGGATGATTATACTCTTACTTGGAGCAAACTCTCTGATGTTATGATGACAGGACATGGAGCATTAAGCATATTCTATAATTTCCGTCTGGAGACTTAAATTTCTTGTGTTTTCTGCAGGCTTGTTTTGAGGGAAACCCATTTAAGACTGTACCTGGACCTTTTAAACTTTTCTGGCGATGCATGCGCTCTAAGCCTGGGTATGTTTGATTAGATTTTGACATTCTTTTCTAATCTACTCTTTGGCATCTAATTAGTTTGTGGAGAAACTCGAGTCTTTTTGAAATGGGTGATGGATGTTTAACAGTTTTAAAGTTCTTAGCAATGTAATTGACATAATGATGGATCTTCTTGGTTGGCTTGCTAAATTGAGTCTTGCCATGATCACATACTGATTTTCTAATCTACTCTTGAAGTAGCTAATTAATATTACCTTCAGTTAAGCCTTTTTGACGTGGGCAATATAATTAATAGAATAATGATCTCATCTCGTTTCAATTGCCGTCTGCTCATCCACAATTTGTTCTACTTATCTTGTATCAGCTAGAATGCATTACTTTTATGATAATCTACAATTTGTTCTAGTTATCTTTTTATTTCCACTAGAATGTGCTAGGCTTATAGATTGGTAGAATGTTATTCCTGCCATTTATGAACAAACTTGTATATTTGCACAGGGAGGAGCCAACTGAACCATACACCTATCTGCAATTGGATCCCCCGAAGAGAGAGGTGAAACTTGAGTGATGCAGCTTCCCTGCGGAGCCCGTATAAGTTTTGTATAATGGAGGAGGAGACCATCTAATGTTGGAATGCTTATATACTCTTATCTCCCTTGCTTTAGGTAATTTCGGAGCCATATGGAGAATTGTTTTTTCTTTCAAACATTCAAAATAAAGAAAAATAGTAGTAGAGAAGGCCCTTTCAAATAAAGCACGCTTATTTTGGCAAATGGAATCACAATACAGAGATTTGTAAATTACAATCTGATTGCTTGACGATTCAGAGTAATGGCATTTGTTTGAATGAGAATGCAAAATCTACAATTGCATTTCCTTTCTTTTCCCCTCTTTTGGGCCATATGATCCTGCACTACAATTTTTTAACAACATAAAAAGTATTCAAGAGGAATGGAGATGTGGGCTCCTTCTGCCTCTGCCTCTCTCCAATTTGCTTGAATGAAACAGCTTGAGCAAATGTCACTATTCCGGCACGTGTCCGATTACCCAGATAGAATCAAGGCAACGTGCTTTATGTACAAGAGAACAGGAAACTAGAAGTCAATGATGGGTTCTCCAATGTTGAGATTGCGCTCCACAGTCCATGGCAAGTCGAAAAACTTTGCGGTGATGAACTTGAATATCTTATTTACATTGATGTTATAATCCGCACTTGAGAAAAACAAGGTTGCGTTCAGAGCCCTTGCATATGCTCTTGCCTGTCACACATCAAAATATATATCAACTCAAATAGGATTGAAATCTTAATTTCTTCTAACTGGCATCTCTTTCATCACTGAAATAAAAATTTCATGTTCGAATGATATTTTGAGCATATTTTTTCTTTAGAAAAAAGAGAATATCTTAATTGTGAAAAAAAGATCATCTACTAAATTGCAAGAAGAAAGGATTTTAGAGGGTGAAAAATTACAATTTAAAAACAGAAAGGAAAGAGAAAACAAATTATAAGATGAGTTCTTGTTTCCATCGCAATAATTTCATTGGACTTAGAGGTTGAATTATTTTTACCTGACTCGATATTGTCCATTGGAGATCAATGGGGAGTTGGATAAATTCATCGAACTTGGTTCCTATTAGAATAGGAATCGCCGTCTACAAGAAATTCCAGCACCCAATTCATCAAAAACAATCCAAACACAAAGTACACATGTATATTTTCCAATATATAAATATATATATATATATATATAGAGAGACAGATATGTGTTATCAGTGTGGATATATACCTGGTTCCATCTCCTGGACTTCTGATACCAGCTAATGACACTGCATCGATTAACCCAAGCAATTAATGGAGTTGGAAGAAAAACAAAGCCAAACATTAAACGTACAGGGAATGTTGATATACCTGTTTAACGTACATCGGCTTGTTAGATCAAACATGAACAAAATGGCTACCGAGTCCGTGCAGGCCATGGGAATGTTTTTCTGAGAACTTTCATCTCCTACAACAATATATATTCATGATCAGGTCATAATTAAACAAAAATTCTGATTAAAAAATAGTATTATAAGAACTGAAAATTGCTTATATATTAAAAATAGGAATTAATTAAGAAAATACATAAATATAATAGATAGACATATAGATATATACCCTCAACTTCCCAGATGCTATAGGAAATGCGAGCTCCTTTCACGAACATTGTCTTGTCTATCGAATTTATTCCACCTCCCTGCATGCTTTCTTCCTTTTCATTCCCTATATATTTCATCTTCCGAAACGCAAAAAGAAAAAATAATAACAATAATCAATATTGAGGAATAAAGAAAATTATATGAACATACATAGCATAATAGAAAATGTAAATATGTGTTTCTGAATATACTGACCAAAAAGCTAGTTTTCCCAATCTGGCAATCGCCGAGGAGACTGATCTTCAAAGAGACCAAATCGGAGTCCATCTCGTGATGTGGGAGGATAACAGGCGTGGCGGTGGCCGACGAGAAGCCGGAGTCGACGGCGCCTAGAGTTGGCGATGGCGCGGCGGCTAGTTGCAGCATCCGATAGCGAGCAGGCTTTCCGAGAGAGCAAGCGAGGATGCGATCCCACAGGGCACGGACGAGACGGCGGAGGACGAAAACTCGCCGTTGGACCCTGCGGCCGAGATTTAAAAACATCTTTCGCCGGCGGATTTCGGCTTCCATGATCGACTCGCGAACTCTCCGCTCTGCACCTCAGGACTCCGCCCTCCCCCCCAAAAAAAAAAGAAAAAAAAAAGAGAAAATCAAGAAAGAAAGAGAGGCGGTGTGCGTATTAAATCGTATTGGGGGCCATGAAAATGGAACAGAGAGAGGTGTTTTGAGCTGGAGAGTGGTTTGGGAATGGGGGAAGGGAAGGGTATTTTGGGAAAAACGAAGGAATTGCCCGTTTTGCAAACGAGTTTTTTAGGGGCAAAATTATGAATGAACTGGTTTAACGGAAGAGTTGACCGCTACACGTACATTATGCAAATAGTCCATTTCGCCGGCTCATGTCCGTTCCATGTTGCTTTCATATGGGGGCTATTTTGGGAATTTCAAATTCTCATTCCTTTTTAATTTTAAACAATATTCCTATTATATTAAATCAAATCTAATTTTTAATGCACATTTTAAACAATACAAAAAAAAAAAAAAAAAGTGTTTATGACAAGATAAACCTAATTTTCTGACATATTTTTGTACCACGAGCCACCTACTCATGCACTCCATTCCGACACGTACAATACAAAGTCTTTAAATCTCTTGTGACAAATCAGATACAAATAGTAAAGACTTATCATAGTGAATTTTTTAATCAAATCATAAATTTTCATCTCTGGAATTAAAATATTGTTTATTTAAACAATAATGATGACCTAGTTTGAAATTGGAGTAAGGACCCATTATGAAGTTGAGGTGTGGAAGATTATGTCTGATGATAAAGTTTTCTTGTTTATTGAGAAAATTCTAGTCTAATAGTACTAAAGTCTCGTAAATATGTATAATTGAATTAGTTAAGATGACTATAACTATTGGCCTTTTGTAAAATGATATTTTTTATCACTAATATATTAAATTAGGATTACCCAAATATTTTTATTATTTAAAATATCGTGTGTTAAATAAAAAAAAAAACATAATATTCTAATTCTATAATATTATTTAATAATAGAATTTTATGGACTTATAAATCTTTTTATAGTTTGTATAATTCTAGAACTAAATTGAGATATTTATTTTGATTTAATTTATATAATAAATTAACCTATAAACTTTTTAGATATAAATGTAATAAAACTATAAATTATTATCTAATTAGACCAATATTTTTATTATTTATTAAGTCATTAATGTCACTATTTTAAATTTTAATTTTACCAAATTACTTGTTCTAAGGTTTTTGTGTCAAACAAAATATTTTTATTTGTACCGTAAATCTTAATATTATTTTACTAAAACATCAATCTATTATCAAATACCTTTATTAATATTTAAAAAATTGTTTATTTATTATTCATATGATTATGATAATTATAATTTTTAAATCAAAATATGGGGTCCATCTACATATTGTACATATAAGACACAAAGATGATTGCACAAGATTCTAATATTTTGGTAGGTCCATCGGGTAAGGGAAGTTTAGTCCTCAACCATAGGAAGCTAGACAAGGGGGCAAAGTTCATTCAATATTTTTATCAATAACATGTATTTGGTAATATGTCCTTTTATTGAAACTATGAATCTTAATATTCTTACATAATAATTCACCTAACAATTATTAATTAATTTATTTGTAAGTTAAATTACAATAAATTTTAATAATTAGATTATTGTATTATTAGTAAAATTAATATTTTTTTTTTTTTTTTTGTTGTTGTTGTAAGATTTTTTAAAATTAAATTTTTAACTTTATATATTATTACAAATTTACCACAACTTGTACTCTCCGTTCAATTAGGATAAATTCTTGGCACGTTCAACATGTCCATTTTAATGGAAATGAGACATTTAAAAAAAGAGCCGGCAACAAGTCCGTTCATTGGGCACGCTACTTGTTTACTTTTATGCATGTTGGGGCCGTAAAATAAAAATATAATTATTAACCCATAATAAAGTATAGTAATTTTTTTTTTTTTTTTTATAGAGAAAATTCATTTATAGTGTTGGAGAAACTGATCTTACATATTTATACGGTTAAAAAATGATATATAAATATAGAAAATATATTATGTTTTTTTTTATTAAAAAAAAAGAAATAAAAACCAAGTAATTAAAGTAAGAAGTATATGTTCTTGTTACCTTTCATCTCCTTACTTTTGATTTATTTACAAGTTGGGACTTTGCTTAAGAAGGCAAAATAAGAGGCTTCTTCTTTATTAAACTAAAAAAGGAATCATTTTCATGTCATGATAAAATTTTGTTAAAAGCAGATTTTGCTTGAAAGTAATTTCAGTCTCCCTCCATTGATTGAGGCATTGAATTCTTTACAAACACAGCCCAAATGTTCAGTATATCTATATACATTTCTAATTATCTTTTAAAAAGAAAAGGCCATTCATGAAAACATGGAATTTTAAGAAAAGTAACCCACAAAAATCTGGGTCAAGAAGATTTAAACTCCCACATCAATAATTGATTCGAGTTCATTTGCATAGAAATCATGTGCAAGAAACAGAAAGTTTCAACTGGTTAGGCTCAAGCTTGAATTATGCACATGGGTGCCATTCCTTGTTGAAGCAGCATTTATGGTTTTCTTTCAAAAGTCCAAAAGTAAAGTTGGGGCCATTGTACTATCTTCCAAACAGGATTCGAGATAAGCCTTCTCTGAAAGAAAACTCAGAAGAAGAAAAAACAAAGAATTGTCTTCCATTTTAGAAAATTAGTGTTTACTCTAAACAGTCAGACTATATCTACTTCATTGAAAAGCTATGTTGTTTTCACGAAAAATCAAACAGTCAACATCCATATCTTCACGTGAATACAAAATGGTTGACTACTACACTGTGATTTTTCTTTTTGTATTTTCTTTAACAAATGAAATGTTATGGTACAATTAATTTCTACTGATCGTATACTTCCAGAATCTGGAAAATGCATCTCGAAACCTCCATAACAGAATGATGGAAAAAAAGATCGAAGATTCCTTAAGGAGTCGAATTTACCTGCCCATCTGAGCTCGGTGCAGCACTTTGTTTCTTATCACTACTCCTTCGTTTGATCATCTCCTTAATTTCTGCTTCTTTCTTATCAACAAAATCTATCAAGTTCTTGAAACTACTTGTGCGGGCACTGCGTCTTGGTCTGGCAGGTTCTATTTCCTCAACATTGTCACTTTCCTCGTTCTCTGGGCTGAATCTCCGAAACTGACAGAATATCCTACCGGAGAATATTGCAAGAGCAATGATACATGATGCACCACAAATAACAAATAGCCCCCAGAAGCTCTTGAGCGAAAGTTGGTTATCGTCGGTTTCAGTGATTTGCATAGAGCACTCATTATGCGTTAACCATTTGTTGTGGATCTTTTGGAGATCACCATTCTCTGAAAGTTGGAGAATGGCTGTTGACATATCAACAGCAAGAGGAGACTCTCTCTGGAACGCCTGGGAGAAGGAAACGGAACATGAGAACTATACTGGACTGCATTGTAAAAGTTCAGGAACTCCTACCTTGCAATCTCAAGAAACATGAAATGTTCGAGTTCTTACAAGCATCAGGAACATCTAGCAAGAACTATACACAGAAACCTAAGAAAAAAATGGAAACAACAAATGTCACATACCCGCTAGCATAACAAGTGGTTTGTATTGGGCAATTTACAAATACTTGAGTGATCCTAATGTTAAGACCAAAAGTTTTAGTAATTATGCAAGTCATAAATTCCAAAAATAACGCGAATTTCAGAAAATTACAGTAAATTATGCCAAGAAAACAAACTAGCCTAACTAGTAAATCGCTTGTCGACCTATTAAATCAAAATAGTTGGGGGCTCGGAGAGGGGGGTTAAGTGATGGAAAAGACATCTCTATGCTTAGATAGCCCAAGCTTGAATTGACAAGAGACTAAAATTATATATGTGAGGATAGACAACTCAAATTGCATTCATCAAAACAGAATATTTTCTTTTTAATTTAAATCAATTTCAAAGAACCACAAGGCATTAGCAATTGAGTTCATAATCTATCTGGTCCACTCCCCTGAGATCACAGTCTGTAACCTTATCTGGTACACATGCCAATGCAAGCAATAAGATAGGATAAGGATGAAACAAACTATGTGATTTGTTCTGCTTCCCATTTGCATATTAACACCCGGAAGTCTCTCAGCAAGCAACAACAGCTGTTTAAAGATCTATCGAACAAATCAGTCGCAGACTCACAGCACACTACAAGAGAAAAAGAAAAACATAGAGATTGATAATGCATCTTACTTAAGCTAATTTAGTGCAACTAGAGATATTTATTGCAAGTTGTAAGATGTAATTGTGCTGCTTCACATTTCAACATCTGTATTGGCTATATTGGGTCCTGAAGTTTTGCTCCACATAAGTCAGGAGTGAAAACAAGAACATGGTCTGACTTAGACTGATAAAGTACTATACTTACAAATCCCCATCCGCTTTTTGTAAATTCTTGTCCCACTGTTCTGAAAGCACAATTTGTGTTGGATAAGAAGAGCTCAATATAAGGAAGCTCATCAACAATGGCAGCAACACCACCACCTTTTGGTCCACGCTTAAGTAAATCAAAATATTCTGCTTGATTTTTCAATTTAACCAGCCTCGACTCTGCTATGTTGAGTTCATTAACAAGATAATTCCATGCAAATGATCCCTCTTGAATTCCAATTGGTTCAGTGCTTGCGATCAAACTGTCTATCCCCTCAATCTGTGATGTTAGCTGCTGCACTGTGAGGATTGATGTCAAACTAGCTGTATAGCTTGAATTGATAATTAATACTACAAAAAGCCATATGATCAGGACCAGCCGCCCCAATGTGCTCACAGTGTTCTCTCCTGCATCCATGTTGAGAAGTTTCAAATTTACCAGTTTCATAATAAGGAATCATTAAGACTTGGAGTTGGAGTAACAACATAAAACAAAAGAGAGTAGGTATTTTTTGTACATACTATGTGAAAAAAACATTGTCGAGAAGCTAAACCTGCAACATCAAAAAGAAATCTCAGTATATGCGGTAAAAGATTAATGGAGTAGAACAAATAAAGGCAGAATATCTAGGAAGTTGCAGATTGTAAGCTTGTGGGTTCCTGCATTAAGGCATATGGCATATGAAACTCTTTAATGCTAAGGAAGGCCCTTATAGGATCTATCACATATTTTTGCAGTTTGAATAGCTATACAAGTCACTTCACATTCATAATATAGCAAAAGAAATTTTTTGTGCTCATGCTAGCAATAGATTGGTCATACTCCGTAAGCATACACTATAAGCAGTACATTGTAGAAAAAATATGCATAAATAATTTACAATGGCTACCCAGTGGTTAGAATTGAGTAGCATCATTTACACCAGAACGAATCAAAAATACTAACCAAAAGATTGTAATCAGCTGTTGCATTGGAGGACCTCGGAATTCATGATTGATCCGGTGCTCTAGAATCCAGACTATAGCCCCCACAAAAAGAAAGAATGCACCAGTTACTAACCACATTTTCAGAGTAAATGGCTTGAGGAAAGCCCACGGACTAGATTTTGCCCTCTTGACAGGAGCTACAACAACAAGTCCTGATTCCCTGAAGGGCTGTGTAAAATCAACAATTTTTGTCCTGTTTGTAACAATTGTCACGTCCCCAACAGCTGCATCGAAGTCCTAAAGAAAAAAAGGACCATATAAGGACAATTGCTAGAACAAGATGTTAGGTATGGTTTAAAAGCTAGAGTAATCAATTTTATCCTGATCACAAAATTTTTGAAGTTCGCTTACAAAGTGATAGTTATCAATATCAAGCAAGATACTTACATTTTGGGCAACCTTGTCTATAAGTTCATTATAAACAGGATTTCTCTTTCCATCTCCATATAGTATATACATACGCGGAACAGGATATGGAAGCAAGTTTATTGCAGCTTCAAAGACATCAATACAATACCCCTTCACTCCAGGTGGGCTCTTGTCCTTAGCAACAAATTCTTTATAACTCACACGATTGGGAACAGCAATTCGAAGTGGTTTCCCATTGTTAGGGAACACCCATCCCCGAGGTGTTGTTGTGGTTTCACCAGGCCATATTGCAGTGTAAAGATGCTGATTACTGGTAGAGGTATTGGGAGGCACTGTGTATAAGATTTCAGGAGCAATAACTGACAGGCCAGAATAGTTTGACCAATAACCAATTCGACGTGTTGCTGTCCCACCAATGTTCAGAACATCAAACGCCGGATTGACTAAATTTTCATCTGAATCAAATTGAACCTGGCCAGTTAAACCCGTGAAGTTCATCCTAAGAAGCACTTGGAGAAGCTGTGGTCCGCCATCAAAAACACGGAGTGAAGAAAACTGTATGCTGCTTCTGTTCATGCTAAGCAACCTTGGGTCAGAAGAGAAAGATACTTTACCACCTTCACTGAGAAAAACATCAAGCGCACGGGCAGCTAACCAAACAGAATCATAAGCATAAAGTGCATACGAATTGAAACCAGCTGGTCCAGCGGTTGCTTTATGTTTTAGATTACTCCATTTAGATAAAAAGTTCTTTTTGAGATCAGTTTCTGGCGTATGATGACGAAGAGCAACAACCCCTTGTAAGAGATTCATTGTGTCAGCATCCACTGGCTCTGTCGCATCCAAAAGTGAAAGAAGCCAATCTGTTGCAATCCAGACATAGCCGCCACTCATCATTCCAAGGGACTTAGCGACCGAAAAAATTTGCAGACCAGAATCAGGATTAACATGCACAACGTAAACACGTGACTCCATCAGGTTCACTTCAACAAGCAAGTTGTCGATAGCACTTCTCGGGGCTCCAGGAGTGAAAGGAGCCTTGTAAGAAATCTTGGCACGCTTCGTCGCCAAAGCATCTCCTAATATCGAAATCCCATTTCTGCCATAGTCATCATCCACAAAGATGGCAACAACTTCCCTCCATCCATAGTATTCAACCAAATCAGCAATGGCATACATCTGGTAGTAGTCACTTTGTGTGGTACGAAGAAAGTATGGGTATTGTAGGGAATTAAGAGTAGGATCTGTTGCTGCAAATGACAAAAGTGGCACATGGAGTTCATTAACGACATGGGAAATGACATGAGCTATCCCAGAGGATTGTGGACCGATTGCAGCAACCACTTCATTTTCCATAAGCTGAAAAGCTACATCAGTTATAACACCCTTGTAAAATTTTCATTCTGAATGCATTAGAGGATTTTCTGTGCTCATATGCTAATGAATTACTTTTGATTTTGAGAATTTATTTTATGTAGCTGATATCCACACTAGATATCAGATCTTGACAGTTAATCACCAAACAGTAATATGAGTAATTGTTTAGCAGTTATTAATAAGAATAATTGTAGCTCCACAGACATTTTTAACACATGAAGCTATTTAAGTTCATAAAGAAAAATAGTGAAAGATGAATATGCGAGCATGTTCTGATTTCAAGTTATGTTATGTGTTTTAACAAAGATATGATTTAAGGAATAAAAACAGTCTTGTCAGCTAAAGACTCAGGACAATCTTGAATCATTTCCGTCCTGTTAGTTAAATTTTTCTAACAAACAGGACTATCTTGAGAATGGTTTTGAAAACAGCTTCTCAAACTTAAACATTTTCAAAGGAAAACTGGAAAAGCATGAAAAATAAAAACCAAGATAATGGAAAAAAACAAATAAAGAAGTTCTTACACAAAATCAGACTACAGTTTGCTTAATATAGGAAAGAAAAAGATTATACATGTAACAAAATTTTTGTGAACTAGCAACTCTAGCACCAAAATTTGCCATTAATGTCACCAATGAGACACTTCCAGAGATCAAAACCATTCTCCCTATTGAACACTCTACAGTTCGCGCAATCAAGGAGGGCAAATTAGAACCAGTTGTCACAAGAAAAGGAAGTTCTTTTTTGATGATAAGAAAGTAAGAGATATACCAAACTCAGAAACTCAACGAAAGAAACTGGTTTGACATTCAAGTCTTCAGCTCAGGAAAATACCTTCAACAGTTCCAGTAAATCCACTACAATTCGTATCATGTAAAACTAGATTCAATTTGGTCCCAGAAAGAATGTTGGGATCAGAATTAACATCATCAACCGCAGCTAAAATCGCAGGCTTCGCTGCTTTCCCAATGACAGAGTCAAAAGTAAAAAGAGCTCCGATACTCACAGCCTTCGGCCTCAGAGGAGATGAAGCATTACTCGCAATCCCAATCCTACCCACAACCTCTACTGGCACCCACATAATACAGATAAAGAATAACGCAAGTATTGTTGTCATTTCCGCGTTGCCAGCGTTAGTAATTGAGGAAACCATCATATTCAATAAAGTATCAATGAAGACGATTTTCAGTCGAGGCTACCATTGATGAAGACGATAAGCACCTGTCAAGATGTCACCAAGAACGGGAACACAACAAAACCCGGGTACCGTGAATCATTTGAAGACAAAAAATAAGTAAAACCATGTCCCATTATTTTATATAAACAAACTTACAGACAGAGATGGGTCAAAAATGGTCAGTAACAATGAGAACAAGCAGAAAAATTATCAAGAATTAACACTGAGATTTAGCGCCGCACAAGCAGGAAAAAGAACCCAAAAGAATGAAGAAGAAACCACCAATTACTGTCCAAAATCCAGGCTGCTAACTTGGATTCTGGCTGCCCACATGAGAAATCCAAGCAAGAAAGTCACCAAAAACAAAAAATCATCAGATGTAGGCGGTATATTCAAATAAAAATTCCCGTGTTTTATATTCAACAGATATGGAAATAAAAGACAAATATTAAAGAAACACTTGGAAATAATAAACTAATCGTATTATTCAACAAGTTGGGAACCAATACCGGGTTCCGAAAACTCACATGCAAAAATGAATCATAAAGCAACAAAAGAGCATAAAAAAGAGAGAAAAAACCAGAGAGAGAGAGAGAGAAGGCGCTGTCTTGAAGTTACCCAGAGAGGAAAAGTTAATGAAGGCATCGACTCTCAGCGGTAAAGAACCCACAGCAAACTGGAAAAACTTGATGTTAACATAAAAAATGAGAAGAAGGAAACCTGATAGCCCGAACGAAACAGTGCTACAAGCTGAAGTAAGGAATGATTCTCTAGCTTTTTTGTGGCCAACGGCCTAGTTGACAGCCATTTCTTTTCCTTCTTTGGTTAGATATTTGCAACCTTTAAAACCAGCGGGTAGTTTATTTATAAAATATAATTATAATGATATTCAATTTTTATTTATTATTAGATAATATATAATTTCAAAATATATTTAAAATAAAATATTTTTTGTCAATCATGTTATATAATTATTATATATAATCCATGTTTTTCTTTTCTTTTTCTTTTTTTTTTTCCAAATTCTGTTCTTAATTAAAAATAAATTTCTTTTTATTATTTTAAAAGTTAAGATTTGACTTAAATATTTATATACTATTTACATCCATGTTTAGATGTGCCTATTATTATTTTTTATATTTTAAATTTAAATATTCATGAATTGACTCAAAAATTTTGACAAAAAATTATACAAATTATAAATAAAATTAAGAATTCTAGAATAATCTTTTACGGAGCTTATTGAACTTTAATATAGTTGGAGTTTAATTTTGATCCATATATATAATATGTATAAATTAAACTTATATATTAAATTTGTCTAGAATAATTTAAAATTAAATTCAAAAAATAATTAATTATTTCTTTAAATGATTTAATCTTAAAATTAAAAAAAAAACATAGTTTATTATACATCTTACAATTTTCTTAAATTTAAAATTAAAAAAAAAAGTTTAAATAATTTAAATATTTTTCGAAATCAAATCAATTTTTATAAACTTCAAATCAATTAAAACTAAACTGAAAATAACAAGAGAGAAATAAAAATTAAAAAAGAAAAAAAAAAAAAGGACGTTAGACGGGAAAACTGACACGTTAATCTTTCAATTGTAAAATAATTAAAGTGGAGGAATTTTGAACGTACGGCGGAAAACTGACAACTCAGCGAACAAGTCAACTTGTTTGTGGTGGGCCCGGATTGTTTAATTTATCATTAATAATTCCTCATATTAAATTTCCATGTAATAAATTGACGCCGGTATAGAAAATTTATAAAAATAACAATAAAAATATTAAGGAATGTGAAGCACGTGGATTATAAAAGTATAAATTTTGCAAGATGGAAATTCTCTTATTCCCATCATTTATTTATTTATTTATTTATTTTTTATAAACATAATAAATTTATTTAATTTAATTATTATATTTTTACTAATATATTAATAAATTAAAATTTTAATTTTTTATAATACAATTTAAATTTAAAACATTTGAATTCAAATATAAGAATTTTAATTATTAAATTGCTGTATTATTAATTAATTATTTTATTTTTTTAATCATACTATTATCATCAATTCATGAGGCTAGAGGACATAATAGTTTTGTTTTGTTTTTTTTACTGAAGAGTAGAAAAGGTAATTATTTACTTATTCATTACAATTTGTTTTTATTTTAAATTTAAAAATATGTAATTTTTAATCATATACATTTGTAAAAAAAAAATTATTAATAATATTTTAAGAGTACAGAGATATTAAATAATTCTAGTTTATCTTTTAAATTTTTAAATAAATAAATTAATGACACCTGTGAAGTCTGTCAGTTCATATTAATTCTGTAACATTTAATAATTGTTTTCAGTATTCATTATCTGGATTTCTTAAGAAATTAAAGTCTATCCCCTTAAAATTTATATTTAATATAGAAATCACTCTATTAAAAATCATAATTACAAATTGTTTTACAGCTTGCACTCTTACTCACTACTCTAATACAAATTCTATTTATTAAATTTAGTAATTTTATATTCTATTATTAATATAAAAAATATTTCTTTTGTTTTTTCATTTTATCTTTCTAGTTAATACTTTACAAATTTACATGTTTATAAATGTTTTTAATTAACAAATATCACTAATTTTTAATACTGCTAAAAGATGTAATTAAAATAACAAAAATTCTGAAATATCTTTATATATATATATATATATACCCTTAATGTGGACTGGACCCACTTAACCACATTTTATTAATGAAAAATGTTTCAACGACGTCAGTCAATGTAGTAATGAATATTGGATTAAAATTTTTTATGTATATAAATATATATTTGTATATGGTAATAATTATAAAGTAGGAACATAATTTGCGTAGTTGGGGAGAGGAGGAGGAAACGGCGTCGTTCGGAGAAGAGGAGGAGGAAACGACGTTATTTGTAGAAGAGGGAGTGGACGGCTGGGATGAGGTGAGATGGACGGGCAAGATGAGGGGTAGGTGGGATATAAATAGGAGAAGAAAAAAGAAAAAAAAAAGAAAAACAGAAAAGAGGAGTGGGGGGAAGATAAGGTTCGAGAGAGAAGAGGAAAAACCGAGAGGAGGAGAAAGTTCGAGAGAGGGAGAGGAGCCGGAGCGGGAGGAAGGAGAAGAGAGGGAGCAAGAGAAGGAAGACAGTGACGGTGCGAGCCATAGGAGTGCAGAAAGAAAGATAGAGATAGGAGATACGGTAAATCTTAAGTTTCAAGTGTATGTTTAGGATGAATGTGGAATTATGACCGTAAATTTGGGAAATATAGGCATCGATTAGGAAATGGAGGAGAAAACTGTGATACATGGAATAGGCAAGTGGAAATAGACGGGAAGTGTGAAAATGAAAGGTGAGGGGAGGTATATGGTGGAGGCCGCGGGAGGAGAGAGAAGGAGGAGTTCAGTGAGTGAGTGAATTCCGTGAGAGAGAGGAACTCTGTGATTAAAAATGTGTAAGGGAGGTTGTAGGGAGATGATGTGAATAGGTATGATTGACGATGGGCAGAAGCGCACGAAATGAGGTAAGTGAAGGGAGGTGAGAAAGGTGTGGAGAGAGGGGCGGTTAGGGACATAATAGGCATAGGAGAGTAGTAGAGGGGGAGCTAGCAGTGGAGGATAGGAAAGGTAGGGTGCTGTGAGAGTTGATACATCTACTAGGAAAGGATGAGAAGCCGAGGCCATTTGGGGAGGAGTGAAGGCAGGGATAGAGAGTGTGTTGAGTGCTAACAGAGAAGGTAGGCATGGGGGGTGAAGTGTGTATATTTTGAAAATTAGGAAGTATGAAAGGGAGGCCTGTAGCGGGTGTGTGTAAGGGATTAGAATAGAGGTGTATTGGTGTGGATGTGTTGTGTGCGGGTGTGAGTTGCATGTGCATATAGGTTGGTATAGCTGCTGTAAATTTAGGAATTTGATAAATGAACATTAGGTGTAGGGGTGTACTGGTGTATGAGTGCTAAGTGTGAGTGTATGTTGTATGGGGAGACGTGTGTAGGTCATGTACACATGTTGAAAGTATAAGAGAGCCTCAGGACAATATTATGGTGTAGGAACGGTTTTGAAGGGTATACCAGTAAGGGAAAAAATCAAGTATGTGAGTCTACTGCACAATCTGAGTAAGAACGGGATGAGATTATCTTTGAGGTAGTTGCGCTGGAGGGATGCCGATATTGGTTGTCGCTATCTAGAAAGAGTAAGTTGATTGCCAATAGTAGTGATAGTTGGGGGTCTCCAGCGGGTAAAGCGTTGGGTCGCTGATATTGGTGACGGAAAAAGATAGTATTGGTGTGTGTGTGTGGCCTGTTATGGGTCGAGAGATAGAAGGTTCATTGATGGTCCCCGATACTGGTGATGGATGCGAATATTTGTACAATTGAGTAGCCTAGCCCGGGTCGAGGGGGTGATATCGGAGGACGGTCACATCTAGCATGAGTGACACTTAAAATACCAGGGGATATGTATTAATCTTGTGTAGTTAAATGGTAGTAAGAAAGTGTGACTTAGGCTACGGAAAGGGAAAACATATGAAAATGGGG